GGGGTAGGGGGATGTCTACATTTTACCTGGACTCTCTTAATATGGATATAAGGAATTTTGCAACACATCAGATCAGGGTAGGATGATGGCGGTATAGGCCTACATATGACTAAGCCTATTCATGATTATTATTTTTTTTAAGTTTTTTGTTTTGTTTGTGGTAGGTGGGGGGGGGGTGAATAGTTATGTCATGTACATACCTCACAACGTATGGATCTTTTCTGAACTTTTCAGAAAAAAAAGAAAGGTTTGCAAAAGCATGTTTATGAAATGGCGTAGCTAGGCTTAGGGCCACGCCGGACGGGCCAAGACTTTTCCGACCCATTTCCGAAGAAAAAGAAAAGTTTGGCCCTTTTTCTGTTTAAATTTTGTTAATATTTTTGTTATTGTTTTAAATCTGCCGTTTGCCGAAAATGCAGCCCCTCAATATTAAGTGCCGGCCAGGGTGGTCCGCCCGCCCTTCCTCCCCTCCTCCCCCCCTTACGCCCCCCTCCCTTCCTACGCCACTGTTTTGAAAGCGATTATTTGTATCTCGATTGAGTTGTTGGTTTTCGATGCGCTCCCCCTCCTGACTGAGACGAATTCTTCTAGTTGATCAATGAAGGCGAAGGACTGTGTTCAGGTCGTGTGAAGGAAACAGTGGAACAAGGTGTGTGGAAGGACTGTGTTCAGGTCGTGTGAAGGAAACAGTGGAACAAGGTGTGTGGAAGGACTGTGTTCAGGTCGTGTGAAGGAAACAGTGGAACAAGGTGTGTGGAAGGACTGTGTTCAGGTCGTGTGAAGGAAACAGTGGAACAAGGTGTGTGGAAGGACTGTGTTCAGGTCGTGTGAAGGAAACAGTGGAACAAGGTGTGTGGAAGGACTGTGTTCAGGTCGTGTGAAGGAAACAGTGGAACAAGGTGTGTGGAAGGACTGTGTTCAGGTCGTGTGAAGGAAACAGTGGAACAAGGTGTGTGGAAGGACTGTGTTCAGGTCGTGTGAAGGAAACAGTGGAACAAGGTGTGTGGAAGGACTGTGTTCAGGTCGTGTGAAGGAAACAGTGGAACAAGGTGTGTGGAAGGACTGTGTTCAGGTCGTGTGAAGGAAACAGTGGAACAAGGTGTGTGGAAGGACTGTGTTCAGGTCGTGTGAAGGAAACAGTGGAACAAGGTGTGTGGAAGGACTGTGTTCAGGTCGTGTGAAGGAAACAGTGGAACAAGGTGTGTGGAAGGACTGTGTTCAGGTCGTGTGAAGGAAACAGTGGAACAAGGTGTGTGGAAGGACTGTGTTCAGGTCGTGTGAAGGAAACAGTGGAACAAGGTGTGTGGAAGGACTGTGTTCAGGTCGTGTGAAGGAAACAGTGGAACAAGGTGTGTGGAAGGACTGTGTTCAGGTCGTGTGAAGGAAACAGTGGAACAAGGTGTGTGGAAGGACTGTGTTCAGGTCGTGTGAAGGAAACAGTGGAACAAGGTGTGTGGAAGGACTGTGTTCAGGTCGTGTGAAGGAAACAGTGGAACAAGGTGTGTGGAAGGACTGTGTTCAGGTCGTGTGAAGGAAACAGTGGAACAAGGTGTGTGGAAGGACTGTGTTCAGGTCGTGTGAAGGAAACAGTGGAACAAGGTGTGTGGAAGGACTGTGTTCAGGTCGTGTGAAGGAAACAGTGGAACAAGGTGTGTGGAAGGACTGTGTTCAGGTCGTGTGAAGGAAACAGTGGAACAAGGTGTGTGGAAGGACTGTGTTCAGGTCGTGTGAAGGAAACAGTGGAACAAGGTGTGTGGAAGGACTGTGTTCAGGTCGTGTGAAGGAAACAGTGGAACAAGGTGTGTGGAAGGACTGTGTTCAGGTCGTGTGAAGGAAACAGTGGAACAAGGTGTGTGGAAGGACTGTGTTCAGGTCGTGTGAAGGAAACAGTGGAACAAGGTGTGTGGAAGGACTGTGTTCAGGTCGTGTGAAGGAAACAGTGGAACAAGGTGTGTGGAAGGACTGTGTTCAGGTCGTGTGAAGGAAACAGTGGAACAAGGTGTGTGGAAGCTTGGAATAAAAAAAGGCGGGGAGTTAAAAAGAGAACGATTCGTCTAAGAGTAAGAGCCTCCTTCAGCAGACAGGACAAAAGGAGAAACAAACAACAACAAAAAAACAGTTCAAAAACTTAAATAGTGTCTGGAGTTCGCTATGTTAAGATCTCATGCATATGAAATGATAAAATAGGAGCCAGAATGATCAATACATTGATCGCGGGACCTCAAAATATGGACGAAGATAAAATACGCTTATCTTTTCAAGGTGATAAATAATGCCCTTATTTTGATAGACTTGCCAGCTATAAGTAAGAGACCGCTGTTCGTAAACCAAAGTAGAGACTCTTTTATTTTTTTAAAATGTGTCAACAGTTAGAGACCACTTGTGATTTGGAGTGTCAGACGTCCTAGCGACAAGTATTCAATTCTGGTTATGAAATGTGACTTTGTCACCAACGACCCCAGCCTAACAAGTCCCCTCATTGTAAGGACACCAAGCTCTAACATCAGTCTTCTCTATATAAGTAGGACGGTCGTCGTCAGCCTTCTTTGGGCGCGTGTCGGAGACAGTAGGACATTCATAGGATTCTATTCAAGGTAAGATTGCGTTGTTCAGGCCTGTTATTCATTAAAACGTTCTATTATGTTATCTTTTAATATCTTCTATACTGGTCATTAAGTTATCTTTTAATATCTTCTATACTGGTCATTAAGTTACCTTCTAATATCTTCTCTACTGTTTATTAAGTTACCTTCTAATAGCGTCTATACTGTTTATTAAGTTACCTTCTAATAGCGTCTATACTGTTTATTAAGTTACCTTCTAATATCTTCTCTACTGTTTATTAAGTTACCTTCTAATAGCGTCTATACTGTTTATTAAGTTACCTTCTAATATCTTCTCTACTGTTTATTAAGTTACCTTCTAATAGCGTCTATACTGTTTATTAAGTTACCTTCTAATATCTTCTCTACTGTTTATTAAGCTACCGTCTAATAGCGTCTATACTGTTTATTAATATATCCTCTAATAGCTTCTATAATGTTTATTAAGTTATCTTGTAATAGCTTCTATAATGTTTATTAA